CAAATTCTACCTTGCAAGTCTGGCTAGACCAGAGGATGTACACTGGTACAGATAAGAACTGGAAACACAGGGAATCCAGGGAGGATGATCCCTTCAGGACCAGTGGTGTGAGTGGGGATACTGGGAGGGTAGAGGGAGAATGGGATAGAAAGAGGGAACCAATTACAAGGAACTATATGTGACCTCCTCCCTGGGGGATGGACAGCCGAAAAGTGGGTGAAGGGAGACGTCGGACAGGGCAAGATATAATAAGATAATAATGTATAAATTAACAAGGGCTCATGAGGGAGGGATGGGGGAGCGGGTAGGGAGGGGGAAAATGAGGACCTAATACTGGGGGCTTAAGTGGAGGGGAAATGTTTTGAGAATGATGAGGGCAATGAATGTACAAATGTGTTTTACACAATGGATGGATGTATGGATTGTGATGAGTTGTATGAGTCCCTAATAAAACGATTTAAAAAAAAAGTACTGCACAAGAGGGAGCAATTGCCTCCACATAGCTTTTACCTTTTGACAAAACTGGTAGGCCCCTGCAGCTGGTAAAATTGTAGACATAATGTGAACCAAGGCCCTGTCACATGTCTAGCACCTAATTATGTCATCAATGGTACTTGCCATAGGTCTTAGTTGCTATACATTCTAGTATGCTGAAAACCACTGTTGTTTAGCAATCACTAGAAAGAAGAATTCAGGAAAAGTAGTTTGTTGGTGTTTTTGTCGGTAGTCACCTTTTCTGGGGGTATAGTACAATGTGTAAAATGTTCAGTAAGGGCCCATTTGAAACAGACTGCATCTTCATTCGTTCTGCATGGTCTCTAACGCATAGTCTGGGCTCATGCTCAGTTTTCGAGGACATAACAGATATAATAATTTGGGAGGGAGGGGGGTGCTGTACACAATTCATGCCCTTGGAGGAATTTCAGAGCTGCATCTTCCAATGCCACCCAGTCAATTCCAATAGGGCAGAACTGCCCAAGTGGGTTTCCAAGAGTAACTCATTACATGAGTAGAAGGCAAAGCCCCACCCCGTCTTTGCTGTGGAGCAGCCAGTGGTTTTGAACCGCTGACTTTGTAGTTAGCAGCCTAATACATAACATTACACCACCTGGCTGCATGGTAAGGGCTGATAAAATGATGGGTAAGAATCTGTTGGTCAGGTTCAACATTCAAGTCCATATCCTTCACCTTAGTCTCTATGGCAGCGGTTTTCAATCTGTGGGTTGCGACCACTTTGGGGGTCGGATGACCCTTTC